CTACATATTGGTACTTGGCCGCTCTTGACAGTGGAAGGCAGCTCTTGACTGGGGAAGGCAGCTCTTGACTGTGGAAGGCCGCTCTTGACTGTGGAAGGCCGCTCTTGACTGTGGAAGGCCGCTCTTGACTGGGGAAGGCCGCTCTTGACTGTGGAAGGTCGCTCTTGACTGTGGAAGGTCGCTCTTGACTGTGGAAGGCAGCTCTTGACTGTGGAAGGCTGCTCTTGACTGTGGAAGGTCGCTCTTGACTGTGGAAGGCTGCTCTTGACTGTGGAAGGTCGCTCTTGACTGTGGAAGGTCGCTCTTGACTGTGGAAGGCAGCTCTTGACTGTGGAAGGCTGCTCTTGACTGTGGAAGGTCGCTCTTGACTGTGGAAGGTCGCTCTTGACTGTGGAAGGCAGCTCTTGACTGTGGAAGGCTGCTCTTGACTGTGGAAGGTCGCTCTTGACTGTGGAAGGCTGCTCTTGACTGTGGAAGGTCGCTCTTGACTGTGGAAGGTCGCTCTTGACTGGGGAAGGCAGCTCTTGACTGTGGAAGGCTGCTCTTGACTGTGGAAGGTCGCTCTTGACTGTAGAAGGTCGCTCTTGACTGGGGAAGGCAGCTCTTGACTGTGGAAGGCTGCTCTTGACTGTGGAAGGTCGCTCTTGACTGTGGAAGGCCGCTCTTGACTGTGGAAGGCAGCTCTTGACTGTGGAAGGTCGCTCTTGACTGTGGAAGGCCGCTCTTGACTGTGGAAGGTCGCTCTTGACTGTGGAAGGCCGCTCTTGACTGTGGAAGGCCGCTCTTGACTGTGGAAGGCTGCTCTTGACTGTGGAAGGTCGCTCTTGAGGGGGAGGAAGAGAGGTGAGGGGGGAGAGGTGAGGGGGGAGAGAGAGGGAAGGGAGGTGAGGGAAGAGAGGTGAGGGAAGAGAGGTGAGGGAAGAGAGGTGAGGGAAGAGAGGTGAGGGGGGAGAGGTGAGGGGGGAGAGAGAGGTGAGGGGAGAGAGGTGAGGGGAGTGAGGTGAGGGGAGAGAGAGAGGGAAGGGAAGACATGAGAGGGAGGAGAAGGAAGAGGAAGTAAGGAGGTCACTTTCCTCTTTAATGGTGAAATATCCATCAGACCCCACCAGGTGATCGGCCCCTCCCGCCCCCCCCCCCTCTCTACCACCCACCCGTCACCACCCCTGTGGGCGGCGGACGGGTGGGCGGGTGGGCGTTGCAGCAGCCGCAGAAGCCTTACAGAACATTAGGTGCTTGATAATGTAAAGAGACGTGTCTGTGCCACGGATGGTTAGGTTAGGGCGCGCAACACCCCAGGTGGCAGGGCCTACCATGGGGGAGGGGGGACGGGGGGGACAGGCAACACCCCAGCAACAAACCCCTGTCAATGTCCTGGGTGCTGTGGCGCCGCTTGACAACAACAAAAATTGGCGGGAACGGTGTGAGTGTGGCGGCTGGTGCGTGTGGCAGAGTAACGTGGTGGCCCAGTCCTAGCACCAGTAGCACCAGTCCTAGCACCAGTAGCACCAGTCCTAGCACCAGTAGCACCAGTAGCACCAGCAGGAGGCCCAGCAACTCCAGCAGCAGCAGACGTCATCAATGTTTACACAAGCAGTTAGCACAACCCCAAACAGTTAGGATTGGCGTGAGGGGTCCTGGACCACACTGTATACTCCTAAACTCTGCTCTCTCCCACCCTCATGGGCCCCAAACACCCATAGGTCTCCCTCCCCCCCCCCCACCCCCACACAACATGCAGCTATTATCCTCCCAAGAATGATCTCTAACTAACCATAATACTCCCTCTATTCCATTACCTGTGGATGATTTCGAGAGATGTTCCACTCCCGCACCTTCTCCATAATATCTAAAATCCCGTCCAGTAGACTAATGCCAAGTCTCCAGCAGTATACCCTCCACAGTTGAGAGGCGGGACCAAAGAGCCAAAGCTCAACCCCCGCAAACACAATTACGTGAGTACAATTAGCTGAGTACAGCAGTCCAGTTTACCCAAGACAATACTTAGAGTGTAAGTGGAGGTGTAAACTGTACAACCAGCAGTGTTGCCAACATTAAATGGCCTTGTTAGCAGGAACACTGAACTCTTAGAAGTAACAGGTGCTCTTAAAAGTGTCTTGTTTTAAAATTAGCCAGTTTTAAAAATATCTCGTTTTAAAAATATGTTGCATGGCTACTTATACTCACCCATCCACTCATGACTGTGCAATATAGATGAGTGAGGTCCTTACCATGTTTATACTGGGAGCCCAGGATGAGTACTGGGGCCAGGATGAGTACTGGGGGCCCAGGATGAGTACTGGGGGCCCAGGATGGGTACTGGGGGGCCAGGATGGGTACTGGGGGGCCAGGATGAGTACTGGGGCCAGGATGAGTACTGGGGGCCCAGGATGGGTACTGGGGGGCCAGGATGAGTACTGGGGGCCAGGATGAGTACTGGGGGCCCAGGATGAGTACTGGGGCCAGGAAGAGTTCTGGGGCCCAGGATGAGTACTGGGGCCAG